AAATCAAACTCACTGAAGTATCATTTATGAATTAAAATTATTTCTTGGCATAGTTTTGACAGATACATACATTGTATAGTCGTATCACAGTTAAGAAACAGAATAGTTCCACGGCCTCCCTCAAATCTTTCACACAGTCCCTTCACACAGTCCTTTCTTCCTAGTCAACAAATGTTTTCTAGGAGTTCCATCTTTTCAACAATATCATAGAGTACATACGGACTCATACTGTACATATGCTTTTTAGTCTTGAATCTTTTTTTTTTGTTTGTTTGTTTTTTTGAGACAGGCTGTCCCAGAACTCACTCTGTAGACCAGGCTGGCCTCGAACTCAGAAATCTGCCTGCTTCTGCCTCCCACATCATTGTTTTTAGATATATCTGCTCAGGTTGATATCTAGTTGGATATCTGGGTCATAATGTAAGTGTATTATTAATTTCATAAGTAACTGAACTCTCAAGCCATTTCCCCAAATGTTTGCTTAGTTGTGCATTTCTACTAAGTGTTTTGGCTGCTCTCTCCACTAATGGCATTTGTACTAAAAACATATATAACCAAGTATATTACAATTGAAGGTATGTATGTGTGCATGTATGCACAAACACATGTAGAGGCCACAGATCTAATTCTGGCATCTTCTTGGATTTCTCTTCACTGATTAGCTAGGCCAATCTGCCCCAGGGATCTGCCTGTCCGACAGACACCATCCCTGGGGTCACAGTAGCACACCACCAATACAGCTGTCCTTTGTCTTCTGATGCTAGGCCACTTTGTACAGGGGTTCTGGGGATCTGACCTCAGGTCCTCATGTTTGCATGGCAAGCAAACATCAAATGAGCCATCTCTTCAACACCTCATTATGGCTTTGATTTTCATTTCCCTAATGACCATGATGTTGAGGATCCTTCCATGCACTTACTTGCCACCAATGTATCTTCTTTAATTATTGGTAATTCAATTAAACACTCATTTTAAAATTGTTTTGCTTTGAGGGGTAAGAATTTTTCATATGCTTTGGATATAACTTTAATGTGTCTTGGAAATATTTTCTCCTAAATGACTACTAGTGTTTTCATTTTCTTAGCAGTACCATGTTAAGATCAGGCTTTTGTGTGTGTGTGTGTGTGTGTGTGTGTGTGTGTGTGTGTGTGTTTTCAATTTAGAGGGCCTGGAGACAGCCTATTGGTCATCTGTTTTTCAAGCAGGAGGACCTAAGTTCAATTCCTAGAACCTATGTAAAAATTCTGGTACTGATGGCACATACTTGTAACCCCAGTAATGGAGAGATAGCCTTACTGATAGACCTGCTACCTAGCCAGACTGCCCTTATTTGGTAAATTCTAAGTCAGAGATAGCCTTAAAGAACAAGGTACTTGAGGAAAGACATTAGAGTTTCATCTCTGGCTTCTACACCCACTAACATCTTATATCTTTTGGTGTTAGCCCTTTCCACAATGTCAAATATATACATGGAAACACACATGTACACACATGCACCCATACATATTAACATGTGAACACACAAAATACATGTATAACTTTTATGGATTATGTTTCATGTTCTGAAATGTAGTTTTCTAACTGAAGATCACCTAGATTTTTTTCTAACAGTTTTATAGTTTTACATTGAGACTTATGGTCCACTTTAAGTTCTTGTACACAGTACAAGCTTTGAGTTGATGGGGTGAAGTCTGTTTTTCCTCTTTGAAATGATATCCAGGGCTCTGGATGTGGTTCAATGATCAATTGTTTACTTGGTATATCTTGATCCCTAGCACCCACAAACACTTTTTTTTTCAGTGATTTCAGACTCATGTGTTTCTTTTTAATATCTTGTTTTGTTGAAACAAGTTTTTGCTACGTAGCTCAGGCTGCCTTGAACTTTCAATTCTCTTGCCTTAGCTTCCTGTTGCTATCACACTCAGCTCTTTTTTGGAGGTAGTCAGGGAAGGATACTGTGAGTTGAACCTAATATCTTACACATGCTAGGATACCACCAAGCTGTATCTCAGTCATTTTTCAAAATAGAGTCTAAATTGACCAGGATGGACTTGAATTCTATGTATTCCAGGTAGACCTTCAACTTACCATCTTTCTGCCTCAGCCTCCTGGGTAGTTTGGTTAATAGAGCTGAGTTGCTAGATGCTTTTTTTTTTTAATGGTCTTCATTTAACAGTCACTGTATATATAATACATGAAAATGAAACAACCTAACTTTGTTCTGACAATCTGATGTCTGCAGATGGGTGCTTTTTAGTTTCTTTTGAAAGAACAGACTAACAAGAATTATTATGGGGGTTTCTGGGTTCTTGTCTTCTTGAAGAACTTAACACAGAAAGTTTCAGCATAAGATTATCTATCAAAGCAAAGTCTATAGCCCCATGATAGTTGTTGGGGTTTGGTTCTAATGCTTTGAATTAACCAGCCCCCCAAATCAGGAACCTGCATGACCAAACACTAAAGGTCCTTGTTCCCAATTGGTTTTTGATTGATTAATAAAGAGCCAACGGCCAATGGCTGGGCAGGCAGACTGAGGCAGGATCTTTAGATTTGCACGGGGTAGGAAGGAAGGAAGGGGAAAATTGCCATGATTCTGAGGGAGATGGATCAGATTTAGAGCTACAGGAGGAAAATCATCCGAACTGTAGGTGAGAAGGAATGCGGCCCCTGGAAGGACTGTCCAGAAGCCTCTTGGTCAGCAAAGACTAGGAGGCTGCCCAGAAGGTAATAAGGCAGCAAAGATAAAACAGACTTAGAAGATACTGAGTCAGGAGTCCTAGAGGGAAATGTATGCTAGCCAGGCAGAGGATTAGAACTGCTTAGCTTTTGAGTGAGTTAAGGCATATTCAAATTTACGTGTGTGTGTGTGTTTCATTCTTGAATCCAGATAGCTCCTGGATGGTTGTACACATACACACTGCTTTGGACGCTAAAGCAGTGTAGTCAAAATTACCATTAACAATAGTTTAGTGAGATGTACCCAATAGGGACAGGTAACACCCCACCCCAATGGGTGAATTTTGAGGAGATATTTATATATCTTTATGAGGTGGGTGGCATATCAGTGAGGTAAGTTGTAATGCTTACTGCTGTCAACTAGACAGAATCTAGAATATCCTTGAGTATGGGAAAGGGATTATTTTATATTAATTGATGTAGAAAGGTCCATTTTAACTGTAACTAGGGTCACTCTCTGGGCCCTAGAGTATGTAAAATGGAGAAAGCAAAGCTTAGCACTGTTTATTTTCTGCTTTCCAATTGTGAATCATTTGATTGGCTACTTCAATCTTCTCCTGCCTCTATTTCCTTGACACAATGTACCCTTGACTGTTAGAATAAGCCCTTTCTCCTTCAAGTTGCTTTTGTCAATTTTATGTCACAGCAACAGGACAAGACTGTAAGACGTAAGTTGATTCTCTTTCTCTGCAAAGTTATGCTCAACAGGATCTCCTTGCAGAGTGTTTCTTTCCATGATCATCTAGAACAGTGGTTCTCAACCTTCATAATACTTTTAGTACAGCTCTTCATGTTGTGGTGATCCCCTAGCCATAGAATCATTTTTGTTGCTACTTCATGAATGTAATTTTATTACTGTTACAAATTGTCATATAAATATGTTTTTCTGGAGGTTATAGGTGACCTCTGCAAAATGAGTCATTTGACCCATAGGTTGAGAAACACTACTCTAGCATCTAGAGAAGCCCACAAAAGTTGGGTGGGGATGTAGTGCCCATAAGTGGGTCTATAATACAGCAGGAACTTATATTGCAGTCGCTGATATTGCAGGAACAATCTACTTGCAACTCAAAGGACATATAACCACAGAAAGTCAACATTAGGAGACACAGCTACCAGGAGCTAGCTGTATTTTCTTGGTTACCTTCTTTTTGAGACTTTTTGAGGTTAATGATTGATCTTACATCTGTTAAGACATTTGTTGTGATAGCAATCTTAAAACATTAAAATAGAAGCTTCAGGATGAAAGCTGAGGCTGTTCTTTTCCCTTTCTTCCTTTTGATGGTGCTTTTTGTAATGCTACACTGAAATGTTAAATAACAGCTACTGACAAAATGTGTCATAGGCATCTATAACCACTCCTATAAGAACACGATAGGCACTCTCATTTTCATTTACTTTGTCATTGCCTCATTATATATGGAATATCACAACAGAGAATACAGTTGCTGGGAAATCCTATATTTCAGAGAAGTAGGAGGTGGTAACCAAGGATCACCTATGAAGGATTGTAGCTAACCTCTTAAAAAAATTCCTATAATCTTAGGAACTTTGCAGTTTTCTTGAATATGTATGTCAAAGGAAGACAACAACTGTTACAAGGGATTCAACCTGACTTTGAAATGTCATATTAGCTGGGCAGTGGTGGAGCATGCCTTTAATCCCAACACTTGGGAGGCAGAGGCAGGTGGATTTCTGAGTTCAAGGCCAGCCTAGTCTACAGAGTGAGTTCCAGGACAGCCAGGGCTACACAGAGAAACCCTGTCTTGGAATACCAAAAAAAAAAAAAAAAAAAAAGAAAGAAAAAAGAAATGTCATATTAATGTTGATTGCTTTGCATTTCTTGACTATCCATTTAGTCTGTCACTTCTACAGAATGAATCTCTAAACTGCATGGATGTCTGAGGATACTCAGATATTGTCATGCAAGTTTCCAAACTCAAACTATTTCACTAGTTATTAAACAAAAATATCATTAATTTAAAAAAGTATAGGAGGGTTAGTTTTGTAAGCGTCTAGAAGCAGTTATTGTTAAGATGCTCTGAATCAATCTTGTTTTCTTAGATCAGCTTATAGTTTTCAAACTATTTGTTTCCCAATAGTTAAAACTATTTGTTTTAAAATAGGAACACCTATGCTTCTTGCTTACATTATGTGGTACATGGTTAGCACTGCTGTGATTTATAAGAAACATGCAGAAGAAAATAATCCATATGGACCAATCTAATGTTAGTATGTAGAAAAGGTCAGCTGAGAATTATGGCTAAGTTCAAAATGTTTATTTTCTGGAACTTCTCAGTGGAAGGTTTATTGCCTGTTTCTTACTTACATCATGTGGCTCTACGGTTAGCACTTTTCTCATCTCATGCAGTAAAATCAATCTAACTTGTTTTTCCATTGCAACAACGGAGAATTCTGCTGCAAGGTTGTGGAATCCTAATACAACCACTGTGTGTTCTTAGCTGAATAATACTATAAAATGTCAGAAAAGACAGAGGAGCAGCTTCATAGAGGTGAGAGCCTACTCACCCCCTATGGTTGGTGCAGCACAGAGACAATAAGGACAAAGAGCATGGTTCAAATGCCATTTTACAGGATAGGAGCCCTTGCCAAGTTATAGCTTCTTGGCACAGTCAGGACAGTACACCTGCTCATCATGAAACACAAAGTGCTTATTGGCCAGATTTACAGAACAGGTTTTGCAGTTGAAGCAGTAATCATGCCAGGAATTTTTCTCATGGGCCACAACATTGGCGCCTTTACCAAATCCGGTGATGGGGTTCTTGCACCCAGCACACTTCTTGGCTATATAGTTCTTGTAGCAATCCACACAAAAATACTGGTCATCTATAGCAGTGAAACGCTGTCCACTCAGCTCTTTATTGCAGGAAACACATACAAAGCACTCATTATGCCAGGGCTGATCTTGGTAACTGACTCCTCCAGATGTGATGGGCTTGTGGCACTTCATACAATACTTAGTAAACAAGGCATCATAGCAAGACACACAGTAGAATCCCTCATCTTTAGGGAAGAAATTTTTGGTTCCAATGACTTCTTTACAGTTGGTGCAGACAAAGCAGGCTTTGTGCCAGATGATACCTTTGTATTCCACATTCTGGTCTCCTTCCACAATATCCTTGAGGCACCCTTTGCACTTGGGGAAGGCCTCCCGAGAGGCACACTTGTTGCACAGGATCTTGTTGTCCCAGGACACAAAGGTCTCAGTAGCCAAGGGTTGAAGGCACTTGGAACACCGGAAGCAGGTGTTGTGCCAGTAGCGCTCTTTGTAACACACCTCCTTGGAATCCGCACCAATGGGCTTGTGGCACTCCTCACAGACGTTGGCACAATGCGCATCAAAGCATATCACGCAGTAGTTGGCTCCATCCTTCTGCACATACTTTTTACCTTGCAAGGATTGCTCACAATGGTGACATTTGTACTCAGACATGGTACCTTATATTGGGGGAACTCACACCAGATGTGCAGTGCTTGGGATGAGTTGGATACAACTGAGAACAGCTATCAGTTGTTGCCTGGAGATGCTTGTTCATACATAGCAGTGTAGGCTCTGATGGATACGAAGCTTGTAGTTTGGGATTATTAGGCTGTACAAACAGGAAGATGTTGTAGGCTGTTTTCTAGGGATACTCTTCCTGCCTCCACTATTCATGTCTATCTTCTACCTAACAGCATGTTTTCCACTCCATAGAGATAGATGGTACAGATAACACAGAAAGAACTGCTAACACACTTTTGCCAAAAATCACCAAGAGTTCCTGCAAGCTGAACAGGCTGTGATTATCACTCATTGGAGAAATGAAGAACACACATCACAGTGAATCACATGGCATCTCAGAAATAGGATGTAAGACAGGGATATTAGGATTTACAATTGTGTTAGATGTTTTGATGGAGAGTTTAAGGAAATACAACCTTCTTGTCTTACTTTTGTGGTGAAGCAGGAGTGATTGATTGTATGATTTGTTATCTTCATAAATTTTACCTGTAAAAAGGAAAGGCTAAAATGAGTCAAACTAACTGGTGAAGAAGCCATAGCACTTATTAGTAGTCATTTTCATTTTTGCATATTCTATTTGGTGACCTAGATTATATTCATGATATTGTTCAGGTTCAAATATTATAAAGCTGTCTTATTTTTGTTTTGACCATTACTGACTGTGAAGTAGCTTTGCCTCATGCTGTTTGGCTCAACTGGAAAATACCTAGGCCTAGGTATATCAAGCCAGCTCCTAGCAATGTTACAGCCTCCTGATAGCACTGGACCATTTGCTAGATTTTAGGGACTGCTTTTCTCTCTAGAATATAGTGGTTTGAGTGTAGTGGCTTTACCTTAAGCCCAGAACTTAGAAAGATCAAAAGTTTTAGGCCAGCTTGGATTAGACAGCAAGTTCAAGATCATCCTGGCTTATACAGAGAGTTCATCTCAAACAATCGTATGATGGTTTAGAACTTGGGCTGTGGTCACAAAATTGGACTGTAGAATTTTATCTTCAACAGTTGTGAGGAGAGCCCAAATTATTTATTTGCTTCAATTACCAATGTACCAAGTACCTTCATTGCTTTATATTCTTTGCATGAATATAGAATATAGTGTTTGCCTCATTACTGAAAGAAATGAGATGACACAGACTAACAATGGTGTCAAACTATATGTTAAACAGGGTAGTGAGTCAAGGAAAGGCAAAAACAGTTCAAGTAAATTATGCCAGGAAACCAGTAAGGGTGTGTGAATTGTAAAGTATAATTTACATTGATGGTAACTTATTCAAAACTCCTGATCATTTAGTTCATCTCAAAATACCAAAAGATATATATATAATAAAGTGAACATAAAAATGTGTTGCCCTTATACTAATTTGTCATATAAAGTCCAAAAGAAATACTGTGAAGATGACAACTCAACAAAGGAAATTATTTATGCAAAGAACTGGATCAACTTCCTATACCTGGCAGAAGGCTGGACCCCTCCTTCAGCTTCAGTGCTACAGCACATAACTTATGCTTTCCTTTCACAGTTCTGTCTTCTATCTTGCTACTTTCTGGTCTTAACATTTTGAACTACCCCAGCCTGTTAAGCAACGTCACTTCTAATTACTCCAGGGTCTCAATAATGTAACTGACTCTCTGAATATAACCAATTAGAGAAAAATTCAGGCACTTAAGAAACTAGAATTAACTTTTCTTTAGGTGGTGGAGGTACAGTTTGGGGGCATGCTAGGCAAGTGCTCTAAACTGAGTCATAACCTCAACTATAATTTTTAATGTATTATGAGAAAGTTTTGCCTTAAGTTACTGCATTAAGAACTCATTATTTGAAGACATTTAAAAATATTATCTAGAAATAAAGATATTTATTACAGTATTAGAATCAAGAACTACAATGGAGGTCAGTCTATAAAATAAATAGGGCCTGATTTCATTGAGGTTCCTTCTGGCTGCATCAATGTATCTGAAATCAAGATAGAAACAACTCAATCAAGATCTACATACTTATTTTCATATAGACAAGAGTGGTTTAGAATTGAATGGGACGCTATCCTTTTTAAAAAGGAGATGGCATCAGATAGTTGTGAGCTGCCATGTGGGTGTTGACAACTGAACTCAGGACCTTTGGAAGAACAGTGAGTGCTCTTACCACTAGGCCATCTCTCTAGCTCTGGTTCCATTATTATAGGTAAGGAAACTGAGACAGCAAGAAATGACTGGGGTCAGATCTATAAGAAATACTGGACTACCTGTATTTGTAGTTTCAGAAGGAGCCAAAAGCTGCCAAGTACCTTCATTGGTTTATGAAACAGAATAAATCACTGCTTTGAATTATGGCCTTAATTACTAGCAAAACTGTAAGTCAATTTGGAAAGAAAAAGTGTAATTCTGCATATTGTAATTTTGCCCAGAGTTCAATCTTGAAAGTCACCTATTAAAGCCCTATTAAGAATTCAGGAGTCTATGACAATAGAAGATACTCAGTTAACACCACAGTTCCGACTCTCGTAATCATCCATCTCGTAGTAAAATGATAAGATTAACATTCTCTTTAAGTTCTGTAAAACGAAATTATCATGGTAGTTTTAGCAAAGTGATCTAAATGGACTTAATTCATTGATTTGATAATGGTTAAGCTGAAGCCATACTCTAGTTCATTCTATTTAAGAACTGAAGCAAGGTTAGCTCCCTCTCACGATTTTTTGTTGTTAGCATCCCTTTTCTGAGACTTGTCAACACTTACTATCCAGTTACACCACGCTGATTATTTCATTTAAAAACTGAGGTCTCCCTTCCGTCCCGTGTATGTTCCCACTTGGCAATTAGGTTGTGAAAAGAAAAATCTCACATTTTGGTGCGATTTCACAGTTTATAAAGCCCCTTTACACCCACAGCCTCTCTTCTTATCCTCTTAAAAAGCTAAGGATGGATTTATTGTCATCTTTATCTTAAAGATGTTGAGAGTCAAGGAAAAGCTAATAGCATTTACCTAGTCAGTTAGCCTTTGTGCCCCTTCTCTCCTCTGCTTCCTCCCAACAGCTTACCTAGGCGGCTATTACCTTGGAAGCTCACTGTCCTGTTTCCCACCTGAAGCAGAGGAAAGGCTGAACTCACAGGACTTCCCAGACAGCATCCTCCTAGGTTGCTCAATACTTTACAGGACCCCACCAGGAATTTCCCCCCAAGGATGGAAAGGAATGGAGGGGCTGAGACCTGAAGAAGCCCTAGTTAGGAAGTTGAGAGTTTTCCTCCCTTTCCAGTTCATTTTTTACATCGATGAACCAACCTTTTTCGTTACCAAAATTCAAGGCCCCCTGGGCACCCGCTGTGTGATGAGGGCGAACCTGACAGAGTTTTAAGCTCAAGGAATCCAGTTGTAGGAAAGACCAACAAAAAAGCCCACCCAACTTAGCAAGGCCTCGCCTCACCCTATCACTTGGTGACACAGGCTCGCAGAGCGCCCTAGGGAGAACGGCTGACACAAAGCCCTGCCCGTCACTCCCTTAGGGCAGCAGCTAAAGGTTGAAGCCCCTGGGCAAAGGAGAGGGAGACACCGGCGACCATGCCGCCCTCCTCAGGGGAGAAGTTCTAAATTCCCATAACCGTTAGTTCCCTCGAGCCCGCAGAACGGCTGGAGACTCGGGCGAGGCCGGAGGCGCGCGCCTCACCGGGCAGCGCCCCCTCGCCTGCTCTGATTGGGTGCTGGGGCGGAGGGGGCGGGGAGACCCCCGGATGAGGCGCGCGCGCAGGCGGGCCGGGGGCTGCTGGGAGGGCTGCGCGCGCCGAGCGACCGGTGGGCGCGGGAGGGGGCCCGGGGGCGCGAGCGCGCGTGCGCGTCGGAACCCGAGGCGCGGGAGGAGGCGGGAGCTCCGGAGGCTGCGGAGGGGGCGGGTCGCGTCAGGCGCCACGTCCGCAGCCAGAGGCCGCCGCTGCCGCCGCCGCCGCCTCGGACCGAGAGTCCTCCAACTCCTGAGCCGGAGGAGAGCATCTGGGTCGCGTAGCCGCCCCAGGCCGCGTCAGGGCCTCTGCTGCCCCGGCGGCTTCCGCTGTCTTCGGTGCCACCGCTCCCTCCGCCCAGCCGCAGCTCCCGGCTTGGACCCCGCGGTGAGTGAGTCTGTCCCGTGGCTGGGGGCGGGGGTCGCCGTCTGAGTGGCCGCACTCCGGGCCCTTTCCGTTAGCCCCTCATCCATCTGCACGACCCGGGGCCTGGCCGCTCCAGCCTGGCCTTTTTTTTGGGGGGGGGGACAGTGAACGGGAGGGGGATGGGCGGGAGTCGTTGAGGGGTGTACGGAGGTATGGGGTCACCCCAGTGGGCGCGAATTCGCGGATGCGGTGTTTGCAGTTTAGGGGAGTCGCTCCTGGAAGCCTGGGTCTGACCTCCTGCCTTGAGTGTCAGACTGGTGCGGCGGAGGAGATGGGGCATCCGAGGAGGAGCCCTGCTTCCTTGCCCCACGTAACTTCTGACCTGTTGATAAACGGTCCCGGTGGGTTCAAGTACACAGGGCTTGGCTCCAAGCAGAGATTCCCGCTGCTCTTCCTAAATCGGGAACTCCACTCCCACGCCTGTTCCAAACCCGCAGGTGTGGGAATGAAGTGGGGCGCTGGCAGTGTCAGAGAGCGACTGGGGAGTTCTGGAGCAGCCGCCAGTGCAGTCACTGCCGACCCCAGGCTCAATCCAAAACCGAGCCTGCCATGCACAAGCAGCATCTAGACTAGCCCGGGAGCTTCCATTCCGGATCACACTGGATCGTCTTAAACCCATCTTACATTGGAATTCCGCAGGAGCTAGGCAGTGCTGGGTGGACAACGAAGGGGCGGAGGAAGGAGGTGTCCAAGTCAGCACCAGCCTCTAGGGTCATTTTCTGCCTCTCCTGCCACGTCACTCCTCTGCTAAGGAAAAAAAAAAGACTTGCTTGTGCCTAAAGGCTAAAGGTGGATCAATGAGGGGGGAGGTAGGGCTGCTGGGAAGAGTTAGAAACACCTAGACTAGGAAGCGAAATTTGATTGAGTCTTTTGTATCTTGTGAATGCTGCTAATCCAAAAGGAAACATTGTGGGTGTTTGTATCTGCTATTGGTTAGTGCGTAAAACTTCTAGTTGTTGCCACTCAAGGGCTATCACACCAACAGGTAAGTGTGTTTCCATTCTTGCTTTAGCAATGTTTAATACACTCTGCTTTCATTTTTCACTTTCTTTTTTTTTTGTCTTTGTTTTAGCATTTATACCAGAAACTAAGTTCAATGAAAACATCATTCAAAAAGTTTAAGTGATTTTTAACATATAAATTCAAAAGTCAAGTTTTTGATAATTTTTTTTTAAATTCTGGGAAAATCTTGACTTTCCTGTTTCAGTCCTTGAGTCTTTGCCCTTTTCCTACATTCTGATGATATTGTACCAGATTATATACAGTTAAGAGTATGGTCTTTATGTATTCATTGACTCAACAAGGTCTGCCACAAAGTAGGAATGCCAACATCCATTGAACAAATGAAGTGTATTTTAGTGAGGATGACAGAGGTACTGGTTCTCTGGCTTGACAGAATATTTTAATCCTATTTCATGTTTCTTTTAAGAAAAATACTTAAAATTTCTATTTTGACACTCTCAACTATTTGTCACTTAGTGTGGATTTTTAAACTTTCATTGATAAATTTTTCTTTGTTGCCAAACTCAGTGCCTTTCCTGTAGTCTATTTGCCGTTCATTTAGTTGGCAGGAGTCACCTTTTATACAAGCAGTGATCAGTAGTGTTAGCTAAAGAAGCATAAAAAACAGCAAGGTGATGTCTTGCTGTACATTGCTTGTTAGTATATGTGTAGTTTTGAAATGCCTCAGAGTTAGTTGGCGGAGGAATGAGGATGTGCCAGTTTCCACATAGCCCATGCAGAAGAATTCCCTCCCTCCTTCTTAGATAGATTCTCATTCTAGAACCTAGGCTGGCATAGACTTCCTAAATTTTGCTGTAGCTTCATGAGAGCTGAGATTATGGGTGTGAACCACACAGGCCTAGCTTAGTCTTTTTCTTATACAAGAAGCCTGTTGCATGTGTAACAAATGTTTAAAATGACTTTGAAGGTAAAGTGTTGCACACTGTATTTTGTAGTTGAGCTTTTTTCTGTTAACTTACTTGACTTTAGAGGGGTTATACCCACGAGGATTTTTTAAAAGCATATTTTTAGATCTTGTTTTCTTTGTGACCCAAAATTAAATTTGTGTATAAAATGTTACTGAAACCTACAAACAACATTTCTTCATCAGTGGTATTATTTTTCTTAAAAACCCCACATATATAACAGAAGGAAAAGTTTCCAACAGGTGTTTTGTTGCTGGTTTCTATTATTGGAGTAAATTATCCTCTAGGGAATAGTGCTATTGATATTTGCTCAATATATTTGCCAGCTGCTGTATTATTTTGTACTAGATAAGAATTATCCCTTTCCCATTATTTGCTATCATGTTATACAGTGTGTAGTAAACCCGTATTTTATTGTTGATATTATAATGGTTTATCCATGGCAGGACCAAAAGATTGAACTATGTTTATAAAATAAATTAAGTCCTTTGCTTTGATCTAAAGGCTGTTGTCATCATTGACTTCTTTAGGAAAGCTTTTTTTTTTAAAAAAAAAACTAGAAACTTGTATGCACCATGAGCTCCTAAAAAACAGATAATATATTAATATATTTTTCTTCTTAAGGTATGATCAAAGTAATTGCTTGAAAAGTGTATTCACACTTAAATAAGTTTTAGGATAGAGCAGTACCCGTATTGTCTAAATGCATAGCAAGATGCAGTTTAGTAGGGTTCACGTGTATGTTAAATTAACAGATGGATTGTACAAAAATTAATAATTTGGGGGACTGTAGAAATGGCTCAGTGGTTAAGAGAACTGGCTGCTCTTCTAGAGGACTGGGTGTTCAACTCCCAGCGCTCACACAGAGACTCACAGTCAACTGTGACTCCTGTTCTAGGGGGTCGGATGCCCTTTTCTGGTCTTCATGGGCAGTGTATGCACACGGTGCACACACATACATCTGTGCACACAGGCTGAAACACATAAATAGTTTTTTCTTATCAAAAGGGTAAATTTTCTATATTATTTCTTTTGAGCTGCAGTCTTGTATTCTAACTCTGGCTGGTCTAGAGCTCACCGTGTAGCCAGCTGACCTCAAACTCATGGCATTACTGCTTCAGTCTCCAGGAGTTGGGATTCTAGGATTGCAGGACATCTGGGTTCCTACTTGCAATCTAGGTTAAAACTGTAGGATTCAATCTTTTTGTGTCATTGTAAAAATAATCAGATCATTTGATACTAATCTTTAATCTGCGCATTCAATTTGTAGGAAACTTTAGGAATCTTATAAATCTTATTCCTTTCTTGCTCTCTATGAATTTATACTAACTATTCAATGCATACTGACTATTCATTTGAAGATTTGTTTTTGCTAAATTCTCTTCTTCAGCTGACTCTTAACTACACTCTAATGAAGGGTGTAAGTCCGTTTTAGTTATTCATTAGCATGAGCACATCACCCACCCTCCATAGATTAAGTCATCACTTAAAGCCATTGTCTAAACCTCAGCTTGTCTCAGACCGTCTCAGCTTCTTAAGTACAATTGCCTAATGGATATCTTCTGTGGATTCCCTGAAGGCATCTTCTGTAACTTTCTTTGGATGTTTTGAAGGTGTCTAAAATACAACTTGTTCAGAAGCCTCTTGATGAAAATTTTTTTTAATGTATACCATCTTGATTATAATTTCTGCATACTAGTTGCTTATTCTAGAAGTCTAACAAACTAGATTTTCCCCATAAACTTGTTTAAATACACAAGTTGTCTTTATACAGAAATTCATGTATTTGACTATAACAGATGTTAAGGACCTAAAGATGAAATAGTGAACAAACCTCAAACCCTTGTTCTCACAGAGCTTATATTCTAATAGGGATACATACAAAATAGATATTAAGTAATAATAAAAGCTATGAAGAAATCAGAGTAAAGTAAAAAATGATAGGCATAGTAGAGAGTGCTTACCTAGAGATCCTATAAGGAGATACTTATACATATACAAGGAGCCCCTTAATCTCTTCTAATCCTGACAGCATTTGTTTTTATTTTCTTGAAGATAGCCATTCTGATTGGGGTGAGAGGGAATCTACAGTTTTGATTTGCATTTCCTTGATGGCTAAGGATGTTGAGCACCTTTAATACATACAGTGGTTACATACATTTAGTTCACTTGCCCATTTTATTGGTTATATTATTTGTTCTTGCAGTGTTTTATTTATATATAAATAGTCTGGACATTAATCCTCTGATGTCTAGTTGGCAAAAGTTTTCTATAGGCTGTCTATTCACTCTGCTGGTGTTTCCTTAGATGTGCTAAAGATTTTAGCTACTGGCTTTTGTTTTTAAGGGAAGAGGGACTTAATTTGGCTCAAGGATTTGTGGGAATATAGTCCTTCAAAGCAAGAAAAGCATGACAGAACTGATGGTATTGAAAACTTGTAGCAGAAACTCCTTACCTAGTGATGGACAAGAAATTGTAGCTAGTTTTTGTATTTATGTATAGATTATCATAGCTTCTACTGATCATGTTGACCAACAGCAATTTACATGAGTTTCTATGTATATATGTATATAGGTTTGTGTGTTGTATGTGGGATATACTGAACAGTTTACACAGAACTGTCTCTCAAATTAATAGTCAGGGGAAGAAATAAATGTAGCTTTTCTAGTTTGAGAGTTTTCTAATTAAGTCAAGATAGTCAAGAATTTTGGCTTGAAGCCAGGCAGTGGTGGTGCATGCCTTTAATCCCAGCACTTGGGAGGCAGAGGCAGGCGGATTTCTGAGTTTGAGGCCAGCCTGGTCTACAGAGTGAGTTCTAGGACAGCCAGAGAAACCCTGTCTGGAAAAACCTAAAAAAAAAAAAGAATTTTGGCTTGAAACAAAGAACCAACTGATATGCTTTTGTTTTGTTTTTCTGTGCAAGATTATATAGGTTTAATGTTACTTTTATAATCATATGACATCATGTGCTAAATTCACAAGGCAGACCAGATTAGGTGCTGCTACTAAGTGTCTGGAGTCAGGACTTTTACCAGAACAACTGAAAAATAGTTATCATTACATGATTTATGTTGTTGGATTTTAGAGCCCACTGAAGTCTGTTTTGGGATTTAGATTGTAAAGTCAAGATATAATATAAAGTCTCTATTTTTTATAGTCTGCTCTGCCTCCTATATCCAAGTCTCCATTTTTATTTAATTTCTGGGCTTGGATTATTGAAATACAGTGTAACAGGTCTTTCTGTAGTGGCCTGAGCTTTCCTACTCTTGGTTCTTTCCATGGTAGTCAGGGTGTCAGATGATGATTATTTTCTTCTTCTTCTTCTTCTTCTTCTTCTTCTTCTTCTTCTTCTTCTTCTTCTTCTTCTTCTTCTTCCTCTTCCTCTTCCTCTTCCTCTTCCTCTTCTCCTCCTCCTCCTCCTTCTTCCCTCCTCCTCTTCCTCCTTCTTCCCTCCTCCTCCTCCTCCTCTTCCTCCTCCTCTTCTTCCTCCTCCTTCTTTTTTTTAGATAGGACATAGGTGAGTAGCTTAGGATTGCATTGAACTCCAGGTCTTCCAGCCTTAACTTCCTGAGTGCTAGGATTACAGACCTGAGCCCCCAAACCTGTTTTAACATTTAAAAACTGTAAACCAGAACACCTCATTATTCTGGTCAGTGTGTCTTATTGGTTCTCCAACTCACTCTGCTAAAAGCCAGTTCCCACCATTGACTTCAGGGCTCCTGTGCTGCAGACCACATTTTGTGATTCTATCTCTTATTGCCCTTTGATTGTAGTCTCTTCACTCTTTATTAGCTCTTATTTCTTGCTGCTCCTGGTAAACTTTCACCTCAGGGTCCTTTTTCTTGCTGTTTGTTCTGCTTGAGGACTCTTCATTTAAATAACTGATGCTTTACCTTTTTTTGGGATGCACCCAAAATGAAGCCCTCACAGATTATGCATTTAAAACACCAGTTTCTTCTTTTCCATTCCTCCACATCTATAGCTTTTAGCACCATTTGACATACACTATAGTGCCACTATATCATCCTCCCCAGCTAGTGTGACTACTGCCTACGGCAGGAATTCATTGCCCTTTGTACCTACAACATTGCTTAGCTCAAGTTGGTGTTTAATCACTACTTGTTCATTAGTATGTTAAAGTTCATTGTACATTTTCACAATGTCTTTTTAAATTCTTCATTTTGTGTATGTATGTAGATGTTTGCATGTGTAAGATGGTCTGCAGGTGCCTAAGTATATGTATGTGTGTGCATGTAGAGGCCAGGGATGAACATTGGTTGTGTTTTTCAATCAGCTCTCCTTCTTACTGTTTTTGAGATATGGTCTCCCACTGGAGCTGGTGCTCACTATTTTAGTTAGAATGGCTGGCCAGCAAGCCTCATAGCTCTTCAGCCTCCTCAGCACTTCTGGGTTTATAAGCATATACCCAGATGTTAAATTTTTTCTTTAAAGTGGGTATTGGGATTCAGAACTGAAGTTTTCAATGTTTGTGTGGTAAGTACTTGACTCATTGAGCTATCTGCTTAGCGTCTTCACAGTATCCTTTTAAATATCTGTTGTTTATGCATAGATATAATAACTTAGTCCTTAGAGACATAGGGCAAACACTTGGTTGACTATAAGGCCTTAGAGACATAGGAAAAATACTTATTTGACTGGTGGAATCACAGTCCTAGTTTTCTGTCCAAGCAAGATATCATACAGTCAGTTTTAGGTCAATCTTGTCTTGCCTTTACTTAGTCATGTTTATTTAAAAAAAATATTTTCAGATCATAAATGAATTTGGAAAAGGAATTCTAACCATATTTTTTTTCTTAGTAGAGTATTAGTTCTTAAATTTCTTCCATATCTTTACTTGGAATTAATCATAGTTTATGTTTTTCCACAGGTTTTTCAATTCTCTCACTATTTCTGTATATAACTATAAGAAAAACAAAACATTCAAGTGTTTTACTGATTCTGATTAGGTATGTTATGTGTTCAGAGAGGGATCTTATTTTTCCGTGCTTTTTATTATTGTCCGGCTCTCTTTTGTTAGCAGTTTTTTGTTTAAGTTAAAGTGCCACAGTGAAAACAACAAAGGGAAACTTGTGTCAGCGTGCTGTTCTTCCTTAGTGTTGCCAATAAGATTTATATTGTCCCTTGGTGAAATTTCAAGTCTTTTGTAAACTCTACAGTTTGAAATAGGGGATAGGATGAGTTACTCTCTGGTCCGTACTTGAAAATGTTCTTTATCTAAATAAAATTGCTTAAGTTGATTTAACACAGCATGCAAAAAGTGGTAGTCTTACTGTGAAATGTTTTGTTTTATAGGTGATCATGAACCAGGCAGATAAAAATCAAGAAATTCCATCTTACCTTAGTGATGAACCCCCAGAAGGTAAGCATGTACCTACCCAACACTAAGAATGGAAGGAATAGGATGGTAAATTAAAGCTATGATCATTTTTAAAAATTACATGTAAAGGATCATAACCTTTATATAGTCAATGGACATGTTCCAAAAATAATTGAGCCTTTAATAAGAAAATATAGACCTTGGTGTATAGAGACACAGTTTCCATTACTTAGGTTTATTATTATGTCACACTTCAATTTTAAGACCATTTCACAAGCAAAAAACATCTTTTTATTTGCAAAAGTGTTGGAAGTACAGGATGGACTGTTTATGTTTGATGTCCTGCATACAAACACACCTAATTGAAGATTTGAGAATGAAAAAATTCCTATCATTTCTTACAGTATAATTGGTACTGCTCTCTATGTTCATATATGGTCTGGGTTCTGCTTAATTTCTTTCTAAGTCATAACTATTTTAGCTTGAAAACTGTGACATAAGTTACTTTTAAACTTGCTTCTTAAAGTCTTGTAAACACTATTTGTCTCTTCTCCGGTGACGTCCTAACTCTATACAGGAAATGACCATAGTCTTACTTTACTTGTGGTTTTGGTATAGACTTTCTAAGCTTGATGTAAACAGCGGCCTCCTTGGGGAACTGCATGTTGATTCCTGGGCTAGATGTCCTAACTCTATTGAATTTCTTCCCAGTTCTGTTTTCCCTGCCTGAAAGTTTCTTCCTATATTATTAGTCACAAATCAAATTTCTGGGAAGATATAAAAATAAGTAAAAATCATACAGGCAAGCCTAAAAGAAGATAGATGCACTTGTCTGCCATGATGGCTGACACGTGTGACGTAAAAAGTCAGAGACTATCAGGTTCTCAGCTTGGCTACATAGTGAGACCCTTCTCATGAATGAGGAGGGACTATCTAATTGGTTTAATTTAGTTTAAAGGTAGAATAACCTGAAAATTATTAGCTCAGCTTTTTTCAAAGAACAATTTGTGTAAGTTTATTACATACTCTGGGTATGTGTAATTTACGAATATATACATCTTGAATGTATGTTTTCTGTTTCTGTGTCTTGATTTTTAAAAACTTGCTAACTATGTGTAGTGGTTAATCTTTACTCACAGCACTCAGGAGGCAGAGGCAAGCAGATCTCTGTGAGTTCAAGACCAGCCTGGTTTATATAGTGAGTTCCAGGACAGCCAGGGCTACATAGTGTGAACCTGTCATGAAACAAAACAAAACACTCAACTCTTTGTTTTCTTTGAAGATAGGGTCTCTTTCTGACAAATATGGGCCATCATTTCCTGATCCGTATCTTTAGGAAAAGATTTTGTATTCATATTTATTTTTTGAGACAGGGTCATCTTATGTAGCCTAGGCTACCCACAAACTGAGGTCTTCTTGCTGCCTCAGGACTCTAATTTTATATTAACATCTAATTTTGTTATATGTTTTATAATTTTATATCATTTTATAACTAATATATTACCTATACCTTAAGTCTTTTATTTTTAGCCATTTAAAAATTTAAAATTTATTATGCTTAGTAGTTTTAATATTCGTGTTTTAAAAACAAATTTAGCAGTAAATATATCTTACATGTGTAATATTTTGTTGGTTTTTAATATTTGTTTTTCATATTTAAATACAAGTATCATGGAATTTTAAAGCAAAATTTGTTTTAGCTGATTTTCCTTCCCTTTTGTCCTGCTTCCTTTCTCATCTCCTTCTGTTTTCCAGGCCGCATGTGTTCCTTTGCCTTCACGTCCCCTTTTCTGTAGCATCTCTTCTTGCCGCCTTTTGATCTGTTTTAGATTTTTAGGTTTTATCTGCATTTCCTCCCACTTGTATACACATGCATATTAAAGCTAGGATCCAAATATGAAAGAGAATATGTAATTACTTCTTTGAATTTGCTTCACCTCTCTTAATGCTTTCCAAATCCATTCATTTTTCATTTTGTAATTTCATTTTTCTTTACAGCTGAATATAATTCCATTGTATATATGTGCCATATTTTCAGTATCATCTCTTGATGGACATGTAGGCTGGTTCCATGTCTTTGCTGCTGTAGACAGAGCAGCAGTGAATATGGATGTGCAAATACTGTGTTATGGTATGCTATCTTTGAGGATGTGTCCAGGGATGGCATGGCCGGGTCATACAATAATTCTATTTCAGTTTTTTGAGAGACCTTCATACATAATGGCTGTACTGATTTGCATTCCTTCAAGCAATGATCAGGGGTTCCTCTTTCCTCACCAACATTTGCTATTAGTTTTAAATTTTTGTTTGGTTAGAGACAAGGGTTTCTCTATTTCTGGCTGGCCTGGAACTTGTATGTTGATGGTAGAAATCAGATAGAACCAATTTTGATTGCAAATGCCATAATGCCTTTGTATGTTAAGGTGGAAAATAAGTATACACAGATATATCTGCCTGGTTCTGCTTCCTGAGTGTTGGGATTAAAGGCATGTGTCACTGCAACTTACCTTACTAGTTTTGATGCTAGCTATTCTTATTTGGGTGAGATGGTATCTCCCAGTAGTTTTAATTTGCATTTTTCCTCAGGGCTAAGGATTATCAAACACTTTGGTTAATGCTTTTTGTGTGTATAGTGTTTTGTACTTTAAGGAAATCAAATCTGGATACTTGTTCTCTGATGTACAGCTATTGTTCTTTTCTGTGGGCTCTTTGCTCTTCTTACAGTGTCTTGTGCTATGCATTAACCTTTTAATATGTAGTTCCAATTTTTAATTCTGAGTGCTGTTTCCTGCCTGATGCACTATTTGGAATAATCAGCGAGACTGCCCCAGTTAGAATGTAAAGCTTCCAAGGAATGAAAAAAAGTCTTAAGATGAATTTGTGCCTTGTGTCTTAGAAAAGCTCAATTTTAGAACTTTCAGATAAGAGATTTATTACCTAGTTGATACTGTTTGTATATTTTTATAAATCTCATTACTGTTTGGAGGGAAGACAGGTACATTCTTGCAGCTGCTTTTGCAATTGTCTTTTGTGCTTTACATCATCTAATTTCTGGAACTCTCAGCTATAGATTTGTAAGAGAATAAAGTGAAAAGACAAAGCCATTTTAATATTATTTTGAAGGAGATTTTTATCATGTGTCCCCTCACCTCAAAGTCCTTAGAGATCCCCAAAGTACTTTCAGAATCACACTATATGAAGATGATTATTTTGATAATTAATAACTATATCTTGAATAAGAAACTGAAGGCTACATGTGCTTATATTTTTGTTTTTCTTATGTTTTAGGGTAAAATTTTATTAGCAAACTGCAAATCAGAGAGACATTTAGAATACATCTTTAAAAATAAGATTATATTGTATAAAGTGGTTTAGTCTCTATAACATTTCTTTTTATAAAAAAATTTCCTTTTATGGATAAGATTTAGCATTGAGCCACACATGTGTGATACACTCCTGGGCAGACATGGATACATGTCTACTTATTCCACATAGGGAACTATTGATATACTGGAATCCAACTTGGTAACCCAACAAGTTTAATTGGGTTTACTTATAAGAGAAGAAGTGATTCAAAGACAGCTGCATCACTAAAGTCCACTCTAGTGTGGTAGCTGATAGCTCACAGAAGCTGGAAATGTGGAGTACACTTTACAACCTGCAGGGAGCTCAACATGTTAGAGAGTATCCCTCCCAAGTAGCTCAGCTGGTCTCTGTTTCTTTCAGGCTCCTCAGCTTGTCTGAATGTCTTTTACCTGTCCTTATAGTTTATATATATTTGGAGAAGGAGGCCTAGTGAATCTGGTCAGTTTCAGGAACTTCCTGAAGCTGTTCTGATTTACTTTCTGAGCTTAAGAAGCTTCTATGTAGAATGGAACTTTTACCTTCCTTTTAATAAAACATTCTGTGTCTTATCTTAACCAGCTTCCCTCCAAAATGGAAGATTTTAATCTCAGAGGAAATTGCTACACAACACTATGTGTGGTGGTGCATACCTATAATCTTGGTGTTTTGTGAGGTAGAGGTAGGAAAATTGAGAGTTTGAGGAAAGTGGGGACTACATTAACAAGACTGCTTCAAAAGACTTAGTTGTGGACGGAGGTATAATATAAGACATCTGCAGCTGTACTCAGGCAAGAACTCCTTACTTACTCAGAATAGTGGAGCTTATCAGACTAAGCTGATAGTTGTGAGGAAGGTTACTTAATGATTTGAACTGTTCTTAGACTTGAATTTGACTATCATACCATTTTCTCTCATTAGGGTCAATGAAAGATCACCCACAGCAGCAGCCAGGCATGTTGTCTCGTGTGACTGGAGGTATCTTCAGTGTTACAAAGGGAGCTGTTGGTGCCACCATTGGTGGTGTGGCTTGGATTGGTGGAAAGAGTCTGGAAGTAACCAAAACAGCTGTTACAACTGTGCCTTCCATGGGAATAGGGCTGGTGAAAGGAGGCGTGTCTGCTGTGGCTGGAGGTGTGACAGCTGTTGGGTCTGCTGTTGTAAACAAAGTGCCCTTAGCAGGAAAGAAGAAAGACAAGTCTGATTGAGAGAGGAGTACACTTGCTCTCCACAGCATATGATGCCAGTGGCATTGAACAGCTCAATTACAGACTACAGCCAAGTCAACTGCTAAACTGCTGTGTTGAAAGTATTGGTGACTGGCTGCATCTAAAACAAGAAGAGACCAGTACTACCACAGCGTATGAAGGCTTCTCATCCTTAAGTTCAGCTTTTTATCTGGTAAAATGTTACACTTGCTCAGTTGTAACTGAAGATATGGTATGTTTAAATATTTGCTCTAAGTCTTTCAGTTTGACTAAAAAATGTGAAAGTTCAACTTAGTAGATGATTTTACAGTTCCATGTGTACAGTGTGCCAGGTAACTCATATGACCCTTACAAGGGACTCGAACTACATAAACTGTACCTTTGACGTGCCTACTAGTTTCAGATGTCTTAGTTTTTATAACTATAGTGGTTTAGGCCAAGAGGCATTCTTATTTAAGCTGGCAGAAAAGTAGCAGGAATTCAGAAGGTTAGAAGACAAATGGTTTTATGATACTGTTAATTTTTTTTTTTGGTTAGATAAGCATTCTATTTGTTCAATCATTGATGCCTTACAAAGAAAACATCTTTTCTAATAATCTTAAATATGTGCAGTTCTTATAATTATCAGTGAATTCTTTTAAAGGTTGTAAAACTAGTTTCCCTCTTAAAAATCTCAGGAGTATTGAGGTAAAGGAGTTTCCTGGTGTCCGTGGGTAAGATAGTGCTGGTTAGCTATTGTGAGTAAAACACAGGCTTTAGTAGTTGAATTCATGGTCCCATCATTAATATACCCCACAGTATCTATGGAACACTTCTTAGCTCATCAAAAGCTGTGTGGGAAGTTTCATATTGAGAAGGAATAAATATTAATTTTTAAGTTTTTATAATTATCTGAAGAATCTAAGATAATCCTTCATGCTTATTCTTTCTTTAGGATGTCTTAAATTATTAGTAGTAATTCCTTTAAAATACAATAAAATCAACCATTAATATATGAGGATTGACTCTTCAAATGAATGAGATGGGCTCCATATATTGGGTTTGAATAAAAAAAATACATAAGTGCTTTCAATGACGTATTTAGGCTTTTTTTCTTTTGAGATGGGGTCTTCTAAAGGCCAGGCTGGTCTTGAACTGGATATATAGCTGAGGAGACCCTTGAGCTTGTAATTCTGCTCTCACCTCCCAAGTGCTGGGATTCCAGGCATGAGATACCATGCTTGGCTTATGTGATGTTGGAAATGGAACCCAGGGGTGCATGCATAGTAGGCAAGTACTGTACCGACTGAGCTGCATCCACAGTGACATTTATTTATGGCTTTAAAACACATTCTCTTACAACCCTTTAAAGCAGCTATAGACATGTCATTTCTCAAGCCAGTTTCAGGTAGGGAGTTGAAGGTTTTTGATATGGATGGTAAGTGTGTTGTGTCTTTATGTGTTATCATAGCTCATTCTCACTCACAGAATGTAACTCAAAGTTCATTTGTTTTTGTCTTAATGCTTAGTTTTATGGAAATGTATAAGTGACATATATATTTGGCATTTATCTAATAATCTAAACCTGAAAACAAATCTTAATTTTCTTTATACCTACAACTAGAAGTCTGTCTCTATTCTGCCCCTTCTAACTCCCTGGAGAGAGGAAGGGAGTGGTGCCTTGACATAAGTCAAAATGTAGTGTTCCCAAGAACAGGAGAAGATTACCTGAATATGTAGATTTAAATGTTTGGAACTCTTAAGAGGATTCTATTAGTAATGTGGACCAACAGTTGGATAAAAATATAAATTTTAGAAGCATTCATAAATAACAGCAGGACTGTCAAGCAAATCTACAAATGTTCTTGGAACTTTATGTTTATACAAAACTTAAAATCATTGAATTAAATTTAGAAGAAATTAAATGGTCATTTATTTCACGCAATATCATTTGTTGGTACATCTGGTGAAATGTCTTAACAAATGGTATTTTTAAAATTCTAAAATGAATAGACCCATTCTCAGTGATCTAAATAATGGTAATGGGGAACTTGATTCCTGCTATTTAGAAGAATTTATTGATTCATTGCTGGTGTGTATTCTAGCTTAGAGGCTCTGCTATGCTTTGTACTTGAAATAGTCTAAGTGTAGGCTTAGTATACTATATGCTTGCATATTTATTTTCAACTTTGCTTGTCTTTAAAATCACTTGAGGAAAAATGGCTATAGTTAATTTCTGCTGCAGAAAAACCAACTGGTAAATTTTCTCAATCGTCTTAAATGTACAGTGTGGTTCAGAGGGGCTTTTACAATGAACAGATGATAGCAGAGAACTGTACAAATATACAGGTAGCTATAGTTCTGAGTGAAATGAACTTGCCATTTGATGATGTGTACAGCTATATACCTGAGTCTCTTCTAGTTTACCTAGACTAGCAATTTGACCTGTTAAACAGGACTAGTTCACTTTGTTATATACACCTGGAGGTATCTGTTATTCGGCTATTTTTTTGAGTGGGTTTGGCACAGTGAAGATAACTTTGTGTGACCCACTTGAATGACTGATCTAATAATGTTGACACGAATACTGTATTTAGTGAAATGTCAGATGAAAATACCTGATTGAATAATGCGGGAATTTTTGTATTAAAGGGATGGGAAAGAACACCTGAATCTGATAATAAAGGACTATGATCTGCAAAGATGGAATGTTTCATATAGATCTACAGAAATAAAGGGAATTTGTAAACCGGGTCATCTTAAAAGTTAAGGTTACACAGCAGCTGAGGAAGTATAAGCAATTGTTTTTTGATGATATGGATGTAGACACAACAGTAAAGTACAAACACAAACAACTAAAAGCCTGAACATTCATATGTCTGGGTTTCGTCATCTCAGTTTGTTCAGCCTCTTTAACAACCTTTGTGGATTATTCCTAGGCATCCTGAAGTGTGAGAGCTGAGGAGTTAGACCTAGGGAACACTGTTCTATTGTATGTACTTAAGGAGTCAACTTAAGATTGCTGCTTAGGGAATCCCAGACCTAACTGAGGTTCTCATGTCCCATGTGCTTTGCTGACTTCTCTGTCCTGAGCCCTCGTCTTCCATCCATATCAACCCACTCTACATTGCCTTCTCACTTCCCTATGCCACCAGTCACTCTTGATAAGTCAACCAGTGATGGCCCTTTCCCAGATTCATTAGTCACTTCCGTACATCTTAGCTGCCTCTCTGTGACAATCTCATCTACAGCCATGACTGTAAATGCCACAGCAGTGCAAGTGGTGCTGATGTTTATCTTTGACTTCTCGCAGTTCATTCTTGGCCACTTGCCTGTGACTAACCACCTCACAGCAGACAGGGAACTGGAGAGGACCTTGTAGCCTGTAACATTTTCCAGACCTGCTTTAAGAAAGTGAGCAAGTGCAGGTACTACTGATAATTGCCAGGACACAGGTCTAAAGGTTCACCATCACAGTATGCACTCCTGCTCCTTAGATAGACCAGGGATGCTTCTCATTTTGTGCTACACTAAATGAAGCACATGTTCTCTTTCTTTCACATGTATGTATATATTTAAGTATAAATTATAATTGAATTCAAGGTGAAGTTAGCTCTCTCTAAAGGAATGTGTTGTTGGCCTGTTAATGACTCAATACTGGTAGTAAGGAATTATACTTTGGTATCAGCTCATGGAACAGAGGTGTTCCTGTACTCTGGTCAAGAGTGTGTACTGTCAATTTCATCAAAATGATTTGTGTGAACTATCAAACTCCTGCCACTTAATATATTTTATATTTTAATATATTTTATGTTTTAATATATTTTAATATAATATACCAATATTTGGGCTGGAGACATGGCTCAGCGGTTAAGAGCACTAACTGCTTCTCCAGAGGTCCTGAGTTCAATTCCTGCAACCACGCGGTGGCTCACAACCATCTGTAATTGGGTCTGATGTCCTCTTCTGGTGTGTCTGAAGACAGTGACAGTGTACTCATATACATTAAATAAATAAATCTTTAAAAAATATATCAATATTTTAGAATAATAGTTCCAAGATCAAAGTTACTGGTTTTATTTAATCACAATTTATTTTAGAATACAGCAAATGAGTCAGAAACCATCAGTTATGAGGTAACTTGAACACAACTCAGACTCTCTGTAGGTCCTGAGAATCATTAGTGCTTATAAGCTGAATTGCTTAAGTCTTTGTGAATTGGTCACTTTGCCCTCTCACTCTTCAACCTTTAGTGATGCCACAGGGTTAAATAATGGCCTTCCTTGTTTGGCTTGCATTTTGCTAAAGTTAGCCTCAAACTCCTTTTTTGTTCCATTTAGACTTGCTAGATGTCCATCCTTTATTCCGCAGCCTAAAGAATTCAGCTTTCTTATCCTATATTGAATTATCTGTGGTGTCAATTCAAGAACCATTGGTGACTCTCTTATTTGAGCTATGGAGATACCTTCTTTCAGCAGTGCCTGGATCCTCTCTTCTAGAACAGGAGCAGGATAATACAGAAGGGCAGGGCATTTCACAACTAACTGTCGCAGGTCGTGGTCTGTACACTCAAAAGCAGCTTTAGTGAAGGAGATACTGTTCTGGATACTTCCTGGCTGAAGTTGAAAAAGAAACCCTTTAAGTTTGGACAGAAGCTGAAGAACTTCGGAGTCTGTGAAGCCTTGTCCTTGAAGAAATGTCAGTATTTCATCTACAGCTGTAGGAGAATTTAACACAATGAACGGATTTTGGCTTAATAATTTTAGTAGCCATACTTTAGCATTGGCCTCTGAGCCACCTAAGTTTAGGTAGCTCTGCTGTAGAACCCCTATCATTTGTTTATTGTTCTCTACAGGATTATGGAAAATGCTAGAGGCTGTTGTCAGAAACCTGCTAATCACCACATTCTTGAGTCCCAGCTCTTGAAAGAACTGAACATTTAGCTTCTGGTTCTCCTGGTCCTTGACAGTAAAGAAAGACTCTGGAAACTGTTCTATTAACTGGATTAACTCTGCCTGGTTTTTGCAGACCATCTGCCAGAGTTTCATTTTGGTGTTAACAGCAGCAGGACTGCAGACAATCGCTTCCGGACAGCGTTCTAAAATACTGGCTATCACAGTTTTGTTGGCACCTAGTTCTTTCAAAATATTTGCAATCTCTTCAACGTAGGTTTCCTCCTCCAGAAGCACCCATGCTTTCAGCCTGCGGATTTTCCTAAGGTCAACTGAACATGCACGGAGCTTTTCCACTGTTTTCTTATTTTCTTGATTTGACTGGCTGTCCGTTCCATAGGTGACACGTGCTGAAGAGTTGATTTTCAGAGCTGGTTGCGGCTTTCTGAAAAGACACAGTCTGCAGAGTTGGTATCCTGTCAGCAACCTCCACGGCATGCTGTGAGTTCTGGCTAATTTCCACATCCTAAGGCTGAGAATGTCCACATTGGGCCTGTGTGGAATATGAAGACTTAAAGGAGGACTGGCTTTTAAACACTTAGAAATCTGAGTTCTAAGCAGTAACTGGGAACGATTTAAGCTGGCAAGGAAAACTATTCCATTGTAATACATTTTATCACAATTTAAGACACCTCATCCTTTATAAAAACATTTGAGCTCTGCATCCATCCATGTAATTGTGAAGCAGTGCCCCAGTTACAGGGTGAAGGTCATGGGTTCTTAGGTTCATAGGCCTGAACTGTTCTGACACAAATTCTCTTTTCTACAACTGTTACATTTCTTTTTAGGTGGCATATTACACAGGTCATTGTTTTTTTAAGGTTTTGCTTTTTTCAAGTTGATGTTTCGCTCAGGTAGATGCTTAGGAAGGGAGAAGTCCTCTTTCATTGTATTTTAAAGTATTTTTGCTGATAAGCTACAATCCAGACAGGTCAGTTTGTTTTATTTGAAATGAGTACATAAATGCATGTTTGCTTTATTAGAACTTTGGCAAATGCAACTTGTTTTATAAACACAGAATTAAAGTAAGTCTTAGCCAGGCAACATAAGAAGTGCTATGTGCCGGCCTTAGTGAAACCTCTGGAAATCAGGTCGGCTGTGATGTGATGGTAATGGCGCCCTTTGACCTAGTGCTACTCCAGCTCCTGCCTAAACCTGGCTCCAGCTCCCAGAGCAGTGTTGGGTAAGTTAGCTGCCTTCAATTAAACCCAGGAGTAATCTCAGCAGTGCCTCTCAGTCTACCCAGACATCCCTTGCCATCTTCACCTATTAGGAGATGGCCTCACTGTCTGAAGTGGTGTAGCCCCTCTTGATATATGGGGGCTGCAGTACTCCACTTCTGACTTGGGATCCTGGCTGGGCGCATGCAATAAAGTAACAAAATGGTCAATAAGAAAGCATGCACATTTGTTTCATACAAATTGTCCACATCATGGAAGCCCATACAAAGACAAGACCCAAAGCAGGATGGGCAAAGACAGTAAGACGCAAGGAAGCAACTTTACCTTCGAGGAGCTTCAAAGTGCAGTATTTCAGTAAGGTTCGGGCTCAAGTTCCTTAGGAAGGATGTTACTCCTTTACTATAGTGAGGGTGGTTTTCCCCATGTAACTTTTACCCACTCTTGAACAGAAGAGTCAGAATGACCCAACACGTATTTTCAAATGTGTCATGGTGTTCAGTACTTCTATACCAACCCATTCACCACTGTGTCTTGTTTCTGAGAACATACATGTCCTCTAGGATTTGGTAAACTTTGAGTCCCTAGAAGTGTTCAGAGTGTCAGCCCTGCCATGCCTAGTGCTGTGTCTTTTACAGCTTCCTGTGTTCGTAGATTTGAAAGGGTAAAGATAGCCATTTCGAATCCTTGCCCGAACTATCTGTGCTTTTCCCACATAGGCTGACAGCTTTACACACCTGTCCTAATCTGAATGATGACTCTGAGGAATGTTGATTTGTAGTGGTGGCTCACTGGTGGGCCTAATGGACACTAACACTGTAGACTTAGCTTCTGTTTTACTCACAGTTTGTTTTCTTCAGGTCATTCCTAATGCCATAAGGCAAGATAAAAATATATTTTAAAGCAACTTCTAAGAGAACTTTGAATTTTAAGAGGAAAGAGGTGGTAAGTATGATGAATCTCAGGCAGATATGGGCTGGGGCCCCACAGGTTCATGCCTCTCATTTAGACCACATACTAGGGAGGGGTGCAGGTTCCTTAACTGAACTGCCTATGCCCAGCCCTGGCTTTAACTTACAGAGTGATCCTGAAGTTTGTTAGATTCAAAGACAAAGCATAGTAATTCAAACATTGCCTCACGGGAAACTTGTCAGGGGGGCATTAAAAACAGCACTACTCTGTAAATAAGAACAGCATCCATACCTTACAGGGATACTGCCAGAGTCAAATGCATGTCAAGTACTTGAAGACAGTTTGACACATAGTAAGTATTTAATAAATGCTAGTTATCACTGGGAACTACCAGGAACCAAAGTCTTGTAGTGATACAACTTTAAATTTTAATGTGACTTATGGTAAAGTGAGGATCTGGAAAAGGAGTTTGGGTAAGATGGGGGGTGAATATGACCAAAATATATTGTATGTATATATGAAATTCTCAAAGAATAAAACTATATTTAAAAAAGGCTTTGAAGAGATTGCTTGTCTTTTCATTGTGAGACACACATAAGATGCCACCTGTGAGAAAGACAGCATCCTTAGAGTCTGCAGGCATCTTAGTCTTGGCCACTGCAGCCTCCAGAAGGTAATAAGCCTTTATTGCTTGTAATTAACCTTTCTGTTTCCTTGTACAGTCCACATGCATTAAAGCAAAATGTTTTCTTCTGCTAAACAAACTCCAAATTCTGAGTTTTAGGTAGAAGTATGACTTAAAATGGGCAAATGAGAATATTTAAGCATGTCAGATATATTGTCAAAATAACTCCATAAAACTAAAACACACTGTAGAGTTGCTGAATTCTGAGGTACGTAAGCAGAAGAAAAACATACAACCCTACTGCTTATCGATAATTTAACACTCCATTTATTTTGAGATCAGGTCTTGCTAAATAGCCCTGGATAGACTGATACTTGATGTGTAGCCTAGGTTAGATTCAAACTCATGGCAGTCATGCCTCAACCTCTTGAGTGTTGGAATTCCAAGTGTGTGCCATGCTTGATAGCTATTCATATTTTACTATGCTGTTTTGTACAATTCTCACTTGTAATTTTTTAAATATACAGAGCAAAGCTGTACATGGGAATTACATCTGAATCCTGTCTATAAAGTGAAATTGAAAAAACTTAATCTCTAAGCAAGTCCCTAAGAGCCAAGGGTTCCTTGAGGATTGGGGCAGGTCTTGCGTAGCTCAGGCATCAGTTAAGATAGCTAGCTCAGTTTGAGGGTCTCATCTTGCAAAACGACAGATCAGAGCCACATTTCCATGGCAAGGCATTCCCACTAGCAGGTGTCTATCAAATGAGACAGAGGGAAAGGCAGGCTATATAACCAACCCACTTTCTGCTTTTTTAAAGGTAAACTGGGGGCATAGTCATCAGGACAATCAAGGCTGCCCATCTTGCTGCTCTTCTGCTGGGCAAACACGGTTAGCAGTAAAAATGGAAAGCCTGACTAATGAATGCACTTGTAAATTACAACTTCTTATGAAGTCTAACTGTACCATTAGAATGTTGGAGAAAGTAGAAGGAGCAGCACTGAGGATGGGTGTGCCGACTGTAGCTCTTGTGTTGAGTGGGTGTGCTGTTTGCAGTTTTGCTACATGATGAGCATCTGTCCGCCTGCAGTTCAGGTTTGCCCTTTAAAGTGAGGTTCCAGAATTCCAGAGAGACCGGTAAAGAGCCGCAAAGTTGCTACACTTAAGTCAGGAAACCCTGTCTCAGATGACTCCCTGAAGAACACAAGCATATACATGATTCTTGTGTCATTCTGAAGTGTAGAAAATACCTCACTGGTGAAGTGCTTTGTTACTGAGGCTGACCTTTTGCTAATATGTTATTTTTGGCCTTATCTTCTCTTTGCCTTTTTGTCCTTGATACATCATAAAAATTAACATGTATAAACTCTAATTATATAAGGAAAACAACATAGTTTTTCTAGAATTGATTCTTTGGTTCATTTTTAGCAGCTATCACTTTTTTGAGATATGAGAGAGAGAGATTGAGATTCTTACATTGTAGTTTCTTCTTTTTGGGCTCCCAAATTCTGGTGTCATAGGCATGAGTTAAAGTTGTCACTTTGTAACAAGTTAAGATGTTAATAAAGACATGGTAGTATTTGGACCATTTTCAAGTTCAGAGGCATAGGGTACTTTGACAACACTGTACAACTATTAACCACTACATCTAGGACTTCTGTCAAACACAAATTCTGCGCCCATAAAACAGTGCATAACTCTCCCATAACTCTCCACCCCTACCGTGGCACCTGGAAAGCTCTACTCCACTATCTCCATGTGTCTTCTAGATAGGCCATGTAAGTGAAACCACAGAACACATTTTTTAAATGCCTGGCTTATTTCATGTATTGTAATGCTTTCAAAGTTCATGTAGTAGCAAGTGTCAGAACAAGGCTCATTTCAACTTTTCAGGCACATTTATTCACAATGGACTGTGTGTGTGTGTGTGTGTGTTGGGGTGCACACCCGAGGCCGTCAGAGGACAGCTCAGTAGGGTTGGTTTTCTCTTAGTATCTTTATGTAAATTCTGGATTGAATACCCTGCTTGCTTAGTCATCTTGCCAGTCCCTGCCAAATTCTTAAAATAATAAGTCTGCTGCTTGATAGCATTTTCCTCAAACAGAGTTGTTTCAAACTCGAAGTCAGGCTTCTTAGACTCACTGCTTTATCAACTAAGTTTATGTGACAATCCAAGTTCTTTGCTGTCATCTTCAAGAATGGATTTCACCTCAAGTAACCACTCCCCGGTCATCCGGGAAGCAAGTCCACATCTGCTAAAGTTTGATCTGGTGACCGAATGATGCAGTTACATCTCTGAGTCTATTTCTAATTCTACTTCTGCCACATTCTGTATTTCTTTCCTTTACAAGAGACCCCTCAAAGACATCTGTGAGGACTGAAACCTGCTCCCTCCAACTCCCATAATGCTGACGTCTTAGCCCCGCCCACACACGTTTTCAACAGCAGCTGGAGTAGTGAATCCTCTCCACAAGGTTTTCAACGAACTCTGTCCATATCCTAGGACTTTGTACATCAACAAGGAAACAAAAGAAAAGCCATCAAGACAGTCAGCAGGTAAAGGTACTTGTTGCTAAGGCTGCTGCTCTGACTTTAGTCCTAGAGACGAAGATGGTGGAATGAGAGCACTGACTTCTGCAAGTTGTCCTCCGACCTCCACACGTGCACTACTTCGGCACACACCTTCCCACCACCCCTAAATATTTTTTTACTTTATTAAGAACGTCCAACTCTCCACCCAGCACATAATCTATGAAGAGCAATAAAGATAAATAATCAAATGAGGTCGCATTTAGGCCTTCGGTTGTATCCAGCTTTCATTTTCTGCATTTCTGATGTTCACTGCTCCTCCTCTTAGTGATCTTCGTTCCACCCTCTTAGCTGGTTCTTGCAGATCCTCCTTCCTCTTCAACTACATAGCGCTCAATAAAGGCAACTTCCCTGCTATCAGAGCTAATGAGTACTTTCAATTCCTACTTTTCTGGGCTTTGTAGCATCCAGCAGCATTCGACCATTTGTTCTTCAAAACAGTATCTTGTCTGACTTCCAAACTGTTCCCTTCTCCTCTCCATTGCTGCCCTCTGGCCACCCTTTATCTCCTCTACAGGTTCATCTTTCGGCTTAGTAGCCTGAAATTCCAGCACCAGGAAGGCTGAGGCATACGTTTTACGCCGGCCTGGTCTACCTAGAGGTTTTTTAGGCCAGCCTGGACTGCAAAGTAACAACTTGTTAAAAAAAAAATATTGCAATTAAAGAAATAGAAACCATGAATTTGATAGAGAATAATGGGGTGTGTGTGCTTGGAAAGTGTAAATGATGTAATTATATTTTAATTAAAAGCATCAAAAAATGGACAGGTTTTTCTAGTGAAAAACAAATGAACAAACAAAGGAACAAACAAACAAGTAAATATCCTTTCCTTCTTACCTTACAGTCTCTCCTGAGAGATTTTGGCCTTGTCCAGGGCTTCAGTCAGTCCACTTAGGACTTCTCTGTAGCTTCTAAAATGTGATTCTGTTTACCTTTCTGCAATAGACCTCAGTGGCACCTTAGGACAGACATACAGTAATTTGTAGGAAAGACTCTTTTGAGTTTTGCTGCCACCTAAATCCCCATCTTCCTTCCTCACAAACCACAGTCACTGCTTAGCTCTAACTGTTCCCACTACATAGTCTCCAAAGACTGGACTATTCTCACTGTACTTTTGTCAAACATCCCCCAGAAGTAAGTTTCATTTCCTTAAGGAAATGCCTCTGACATTTCAGAATAGATAAAGTTCCATGTCCCCTTTAAGGGCGTTTATGGCACCATGGACTGGAATGCTCTACCTGGGATGGCTGTGACCGATCCTGTTTCTGCTTCAGTATCCCACACTACCCACTTTGCATCACCACGTTCTGCTGAGTTGTCTCCCTGCCTTCATGGGCTGATATCACTGACTCTGGGAAAGAGAGGGGCAGGCACCTTCCAGTAGTTTGTTGTTGGGTTTTTGTTTTTTGTTTTTTTTACTTTATAGTAGTATTTATTAATTGTCCATTTATTCAACAGGTAGTTTTTGTTGTTTTTTAACCCCAGGCTGCCATCAGGATGGTAGGCACTAGCTGTCATGGTCAACACTTCATATTTTTGTTGGGATCACAGACCATCTGAGAACTTGAGAGTTACAGACTTTACAAAAAAACCCAAAAACCAAAAACCAAAAACAACAACAACAAAAAAACAAGGCCCACGCCTTTGTCACTTCAGAAATGACTTTAGCAAGAACCATGAACAGTCCGTCATAGCTGTGTACGCAGAGACTGAACACTGTTATTTCCTGTAATGAGCAAAGAACGTGTTATGCACAAAGCATAACATCAAATTAACAAATCAGTGCCATGAAACAATGCAGAGGGCAAAAGTGAGTTACTTTAGCACAGCCACACTGCCTTGGAATTAATTTCCAATTAGCTGTGACTTTTTAGGAAGTAATGTCACCTTTCAGTGCCGGCAATGTGGGCATCAGGAACATGGGGACACTACTCCTCGGTGAAAGCTCATGTTAAATGAGTCAATAGTAATTCATAGTATTAAAAAACAAAACAAAACAAAACCAAACACTCACATCTACTATTCATCAAACCACAATTCCCCTTAAAGATGAGGTCAGGACGCAGGTGTAGCTTGCTCAAGGCTGCCCATCTGAGAATAGACCTGTGTCCTATGTACTGTGATGCTCTTGGTAAAAAGGTCACATAGGGCTCTCTTAAGCAATCCTCTCTTAAGCAATCCTGAGGTGCGAAATACATTTTTATACTTAAAACACTCCTCTCGATAACACCAATTAAGTTCTGGTCTGACAGTTTCAGATGAATCTCAATTTGAAAGCAAACAACCACAAAGCTGGTCAGAGGAAGGGCACTGAGAGGACCGCTACAGTGGCCTCTGCCTCCCTTTTTCGGTGCTCCGAATTGGAGTGTCCGTGGGGACGTTCTCGATGGGCAGGTGCTAATCCTGACCCCGGTATCATCCTGAGCTGGAGGAGCAGGGTAGCTCACCTGTGGGCAGCATGTGGGAGCACAGCGGAGAACCCCTGGTCTCTGGTGTTGCGCTAAGTTCCCACCCTCTTCCGGTGGCCTCTCCACCCAGGAAACAGATCTTAGGTAACTGGCAGGGCTTCTCCTAGGCTGGTAACCAATCAGAGCTCGGGAAACTGATGCGCAGGAAGTCACGCCCCCATCCTCGAGAGCAGCCAATTAGACCACTGGGCACAGACGCCCGTGGGAATCAGCGAGCCACGCAACAGGGCCTATTGCCACCAGTGCCACCTGGCGCTTATCTCAGCAAACTCTGGTGGTTCGGTTGCTTTGTTCCTTAGAGAACGTCACAACCGGTTGAGAGAGAGAGAAACGGTAGGGGTGAGGGTTTAGAACCTGTTGCCTGTAAGGTGGAGCCATTCAGAATTCTCAGAAGTTTAAAACTTTGAAACCTGACCTTCCTGTCCATCGCTGCTGTAAACATCAGGTCTGATTTCCTAAAGGCCGCTCATCCCTTTTCCTCCTAGATGACTGCCCAAATGCTGCTAAATTGCCTTGTGCTTTCTTTACTTTTTAGTTATTCGTGATGCCCAAACTCATAAACCAAACAAACTAAAGCCAGACTCCTTTTCATCCATCCATCAAATAAATATTTACACCCTGCCGCCTCAGCACCAAGCGTGAGGAACTGCAGTGCTAAGACCTTGGACAGGGCAACAGGAACCGAGAACATGGAACATGTTAACCGCAGTTAGAGTGAAGTGCTACCCAGGACCGAGTCCCCTGTGCCCACCCTGTGTTGTCTGCAGTGGGAGCAAGGAAAATGGTGTTTCCTAGGCTGGTAGCCCGCCTCTACCTTTCTAAGGGTCTCTCACCCAGGGTTGGGGTATACTTCGGTTGACATCTATCTCCCTTTCATGTGGAAGGGAGGCTCCTGGTTCCTCATTATGTCCTTAGCTAAGAACAATGTTGGCCCACAGTTAAGAACTCCAGAAATGTTAATCAAATCTGAGAACAGCCTTGTGGTTTACATTCAGTGGGCTTTAGTTAGAGGAACCCACAACTTGCCCGAGTTTCACAACAGCCGAGTCTTGACTCCTCATCTCAAGATCAGTTCTCATCTTCAGGATACTCTGGAAGTAACTGGGCAGCTACTATCTGTATGAGTAGGTTATCTGTGTCTAATAAACCTCCTTGGCACATCAACACTCTATTCATGGATTTACTGCACACTTTCTTACAAGAATTTGGGATCCATGGTTAAGATGTGTTATTCTCACTTGGGAAAAGGAAATTACAGTAAAGCATATAGAAAAGGAATAAGTCGTCACATCTATAATCATAGCATGGGGAAGGATTAGTATGGCTTCAAAGACAGTCTGGAATTACATAGTAATCCAGGCCAGTTTTGTTTACAGTCTAAGGTACTGTCTCAAAAAACCAAACCAACCCCCCTCCACCCAAAAAATCAGACAATTAAAAAAATAAAATGGGGGGCTGGAGAGATGGCTCAGTGGTTAAGAGCACCGACTGCACTTCCAGAGGTCCTGAGTTCAAATCCCAGCAACCACATGGTGGCTCACAACCATCTGTAATGGGATCTGATGCCCTCTTCTGGTGTGTCTGATCACAGCAACTGTGTACTCACATTCATAAAAATAAATAAATCTAAAAAAAAAAAAAAAAAAATGGAAGGAAGAAAGTAAAAGAAAGTTACAGGTGTTAAAGTCAAGACTTGGGATTGCATACCATGCAGTCACTTGTTAGGAGAGGGAAGCAGAACTGAGCATCCTGGTGCTAGGGGAGCATCCTGGTTCGAGAAGCTTGCACCAAGGCTCCACACAACCTGTGCATTGTAAGCAAAAGTAGATTCTAACTCAGCTGCACCAACTGTAGCCAACGACTGGGCTCAGACTTTGCCGTCCTCTTACAGTGCATTTCTAGGGCTTGACACTCAGGAAAAAACCTTAGGAGAGCAGGTGAGGAGACTACTACTGTGTAAATTTTCTTAAAGAACGTAACAAAAATCAGACAATTCTGAAGTCTCTAGTATATAAAAATAAAATTATAATGGGTATAGTGGTTTGAATGAGGATGGTCCACACAGGCTCATTGTTTGAATACTTGGGCCTCAGATGGTGGAACTGTTTGGGAAGGATAAAGAGGAGTGACCTTGTTGGAGGAGGTATGACCTTGGGTCAGGCTTTGAGGTTTCAAAAGATTTTTACTATTCCTGGGGCCCACTCTGAGCCTCTCAGTCATGGATTAATGTGTGAGCGAGCACTCAGCTCCTACTGTGCTCTGCACTCATGAACTCTAACCCTCTGCAATTATCCACATTAAATGCTTTTATAAGCTGCACCGATGTTTATCACAGCAACTGAAAAGTAGACAATGGCTGTCATTCTTGTACACGTGAAAGTCACTACTTTAAGGATATGAGAAAAACATAAGGAAACTATACGTTAATTTAAAAGCTTGGTTCCTTCAATTTTCCAAAGTGTGAAGTAATATAAGAACTCAAGGATTCAGGGAGCGAGCTGGTTCTTTCCTTTGCTCTTGAAGTGGCTTGCACTCTGCATGCTTTCTTAACAATCTATGGTACTTCTATTCCACACCCAATTTAAAAGACATGACCTTTTCTCTTTCTCCTCCTGGCATTGCCATGATTTTTACCTAACCTGTATTACATTTTCTCTTAAACTCTAATAAAATTGTTAAGCTAAAAGTCAGAAAGCCAATTATTATTATTAAATTAATTTATTTTAAGATAGGGTTTCTCGGTGTAGCCCTGGCTGTCTTGGCACTCACTCTGTAGAGCAGGCTGGCCTTGAACTCAGAGATCTACCTGCCTCTGCTTTCCATGCTGGAATCAAAGATATGTAACACATCTGGCTTAAATAAAATACTTTTAATACTTCAATCTCTGGTAGGATTTTGATGTCTTAATTTGGCTGATTGGGGGAGAATATTGTGTTCTAGGACAGTTTCAAACTGGAACTCTAATCCATACCTTGGCTTCTTTACCTTTAAAGTGATTCCTTCTGGGCAGCTTTCAGAAAATCTCTGGAGAGAAAACATGTCACCCAACAACATCCAGTTGCCCACATGGCCGAACTGTTCCTATGCCAAGAGGAGTTTCTATCAGAAACGAGTCTGCTCCCCCTGGATGTTGACTCTAAGGCCTATGACTTGCAGCTCTTTGTAATACAACCAGGTCCACAGGAGGAATTAGTGAAAGGCAACTGGAACATCTCAACTTTCTTATTGTTGTTATTTATTGAGCATTATTAATTTGTTATTCAGTATATATTTTAAAAATGCCTGTCATATAAAAACATGTTTCTGTTTCTTAAGTCAAACTTATACTTTTAGTTACCTTTACAATAAAATTACACTGATTTGTGTGTGTGTGTGTGTGTGTGTGTCTATCTGTCTGTCTGTTTGCTTGTCTGTGTATGTGGTAGTGAGGGCTGAACGTAGGGCCTTCCTTACACATTCTAGGCAAATGCCCTATAATGACCCACTCCCTACTGCCACACTAACACTGTTTGTTATTACTGAGGACAGGCAAATGAAAAGCCAATGATTAATCAATACAGCCTTTAGTATGAAAGTGCCTAACAGAGCTCAGTAAGGAGTGACAGTGGAAACGGTGGCAGCTAGCTCGTGTCATCCAGGGCACATGCAGCCTGCAGCTAACATATGCTGGGCGAGGCTATATGGCCCGCAGTACTAAGAGCACTTTATATGAAACTGGACTATGAAGCAGATACTGTCCTTACTCCCATTTAAGATGGAAAAATGAAGACAGAAAGGTAAAGTCTTGTCCAAGGTCTCAAAGCTACTAACTGGAAGGGTCTGACTTTGAACCCACACTCTCAGCTGCTGTGTCACACAGGCTGCCTCACAGCGACAGAACCCATTGTGTGAGAACACACAAGGCAGGCTGTAAAGCTGCCTTTCAGATAATTCTACAGATACGATCTGCTAGTGAGAGTGCCTAGTCTTTCATTCAAAATGGTGATACATACCTTGTGTATTTGTAATCTAATCATACCTCACATAACAACCCTCTGACCAAGCAAACAAAATGAGAAATGAGCACAAGCACACGAGAGTCCATATTTGCATTCTTTAATAACAAAGTCACAGTGGCTGTAAATAAACGAGCGGGGAGACAGAGGCGCTCAGCACAGTACACAGTGAGTGCGAGTCCGAGCAGCGGCACTGGAGGCTTTAACACAACTGTCCACGCCGACAGAGGCATGTGCACTGGACTACATGTATTTTCTAAAGCATTATTATCAAAGACTGCAAAATTAGGTCAAACAATGATGTCTGGAAAAATGTGTCCTAAAATTTTAACAAAGTTTTAAGAAAGTCTAAAAACTTCCCATTTTCCTGCAATGACTCTCAAAACTCTTGAGATTTTAACTTTTACCATACATGAAAAATTATCAAAAATATACTGATGAGTCTATTCTAACTGTGGCTATATTTACATTAAGCAAATCTTTTACCAAGTTCTTTATATACAAATTACCACTTGTCCTTTGTGACATTCATTAAAAAGTTAAAAACCACAGAAATATTATTAGAAATAATATGTTCGAAATGTAACTGTTTTCCATGAATGAATGACATTTTTAAATAATTTAAATGAAAAGTACTGACTTTCCCACCAACTTCAGCTGCGAAGACTCCTTCTGTATGCTTTCTGTGATTTAAAGGGGGGGGGGGAAACAAGTAAAACTTCATTGCAAAGAATTAAATAATCAAAAACTGATGAGCATTTACCGACTTTTACTTCAAGAAATGTATATGGTTGGCATAAAAACTAAGTGATAATGTAAACAGTTTAAGATAACCAAAGGTATGAAAAGCTTTAAGAACTGACAAAAGTAGAATGTAAATACTTTTCTTATTAACTGAGTCACAAAACAGTATCATAAATTGAATTAAGTTGGATGTAGGCAGGATTTCTGCCACTTCTAACAAGGCCCAGCACTGATTAAAAACGAAGGATGAGGTTTTCAAAGCCGCACAACAGAAGATGACAGGATGAACTGAGTCTATGGTGTGTCTGCAGTCCTAGCATTTGGAAAGATGGCTCAGAAGGATCCCAGCGGTGTGAGGCTGGCCTGCGCATAACCTTGGCTCAAACCCCTTCCTTCCGTACACAACAATATTTAGTGTAAGGGTTTGAGGGAGAGTTTTAGCGGGATCTTAGTTATCGAAAGGAGGAGGCTCATAGTTCTGTCATAAGAGAACCATGTCTTCAGAACTACAAGCTTCTGAAAGTCAGACAGACGGTGGTGTGGGAGCCTGGCTCTGAGCTCAGGGCTGTGTCTGCTGCAGGGGCTCCTCCTCTGTTCAACCATTAACTGCATTTATAACAACTGCTCATGTGGTAGAGAACAGATCAGTTCTCACGTAGAAATTACTGAATTTTAATGAAATATTCTACAATATAGAGAAAACCGAAGTGTTTACCGATCAGTTACTGCTCTGTCGCTGGACTTTGGGGCCAACACTCTGTGCATCCTCTTCCTGACTAGGACGCTTCCCACTGCTGAGGCCGGTGCCCACGGAGCTTCTTCCTACACATTTACAAAGGCATGTGTGAGCTGGGCTAGGAGGAGAGTCGGCCGGCTCGAGCGCATTGTCCTTACCTTGCTTTAGTGGGTGAGTTTGCTGACTGTCTCCGTGAGCATAGTGTAAAATACCACTTCCTTGAGAGCAATCTGGATTGAAAACAAAAAAAAATGATTTAAAAACTTAAGGCATGCATATATATATATATATTACGACTGTAAAGCCACTTTTTAGCTTTTGTATTTAAGTTTAGTTATATATTTTTCTCAATTTTAACTCAGTCAAAAATTACAATCTTAAATCAAGAAAACTGTTGACAGTTCAAGGCAAAACACACTTCATTTTCATTTTGAATGCAGTGTTTACATGTATGCATTTTTGTGTGTGGTATATGTCATGTACATGCTCGTATGTGTACAGCCCAGAGGTTGATGTTAGGTGTTTTCTCTGCTGCTTTCCTGCTTAGTTCTTCAGACAAGAGTCTCTCACTGAGCCCAGAGCTCACTGACTGGCTAGACTGCATGGCCAGTGGGCTCCTGGTCCTCCTAGTTCTTGCCGGTGCCAGCACTACAGTGTGCATCACTGACCTAGTGTTACACGTGTGAGTCCCTGCACAGCAGGCACTACAGTGTGCATCACTGATCTAGTGTTACACGTGTGAGTCCCTGCACAACAGGCACTCTGCCCAGTGAACCATCTCATGTTACTTTTAAAAAGGTTTACTGTATTAGCTATGCATTTCTATATGGGTATGTGCATGTGAGTGCAGGTCCCACACAGGCCAGGGCAGCAGCATCCCCTGGAGCTGGAGTCAGAGGCAGTTATGAACCACCCAAAGTGGAAGCTGGGAGCTCAACTTGGGCTCTTTGCAAGTGCAGTGTGTTCTCCTTACTACTAAGCTATCTCTTCCGTCTTCCTTTTCTAGCATAGGCTGTTTTTTTGTTTGTTTGTTTGTTTTTAAAAAAAACAGGTATACCGGAAAATGTGAATATGATGGTTTGTATATGCTTGACCTAGGGCACGGCACCATTAGCAGGTGTGGTCATGTTGGAGTAGATGTGTCACTGTGGATGTGGGCTTTATACCCTCCTCCTAGCTGCTATGAGACAGTCTCTCCTGGCTGCAGTCCCATCAGGATATAGAACTCTCAGCTCTTCCTGCACCATGCCTGCCTGGAAGTTGCCATGCTCACATCTTGATGATAATGGACTGAACCTGTAAGCCAGGCCCAATTAAATGTTGTCCTTATAAGACTTGCCTTGGTCATAGTGTCTGCTCACAGCATTAAAACCCTAAGTGACCATGAAGGGAAAACACATGGCAGCAGTGAGAAAGATCCTGGTCCTTCACCCTGCCCTTTGGTTCCATATCCTTCTGTCAGAAACCTTTAAAAATGTGTCTCAGTGGACATGAGGAAGTAAAGGTCTAATAGCTGATAGCTAAACAATTCAGATCACAAAGGCAAGACACTCACGTGGAGCAGTTACTTAAGCAACTTAACAACCCTTTCCAAAAGAAAACTGTGATATAAGGAAACTGATTTCCTAGATCAGAAAAGCTTTACAGAACTGTTGTCTTTCCATCAGTGAGCCCAGATTACGAACAGCGTATGTAAGCTGGGTGTGGTGCATATGTGTGATCCCAGAAATGGCAGGCAAAAGCAGGAGGCAGAAGAAGTTCAAGGGGTCCTTGCTGAACACACAGAGTCAAGGGCAGACAGGTATACATAAAACTGTTCCACAGCAAATCAACAAACAGTAACTCAAAACAAACCAAAGAGAAAGGGAACATATAGCCACATGGCCCTTCAGATAGGTCACCCCAAAACTATACCTGTTTTGCTGGGCATAGTGGTGTATACTTGCAATCCCAATACTGGGCAGGTCAAGACAGGAAGATTGCCACAAGTTTGAGCCCAGCATGGTCTACACAGCAAGTTCCAGGTCATCTATGGCTATATAGCAAAACTCCATTTAATAAATAAAGACATGAATACTGAAAAGACACTTATTCATTTATTTTCCCTGTTACTGAAAATAGACTCTTGCCTGTGGTACTGGCACATGCTCTTAATCTTCTTCCCTTCTGTCTCTCATTAGAAAAGAACAGGCTTATTGAAAGAGATAAGAACCAAACGCAACAAAATAAAACATAGTAAGACAAAGCAAAATCCATCACATCGAGGATGGACAAGGAAACCCAACAGGAGGGAAAAACCCCAGAGCAGGTACAAGGGGACGAGAGACCTGTTCTTTCTCACACCCAGGATTCCGATACACATACTAAGTTGGAAGCTGTACTACACACACGAAGAGGCCCTGGTGCACACTCGCGCAGGCCTGTGCCTGCTGTTTCATGACAACTTATTTCTATTAAATGCTCATCAAGTTTTTTTTAGATAAGAAATCCCATTTTTCAGGTTCTTAGAATTTGAAAATTGGCTATCTTGGCCCACAGATAACAACTTCCATCCCTGGGAAGGGATATCTCTATACTATAACAAAGAAGCAAGCCAGGTGGTGGTGGTGCACACCTTTGATCCCAGCACTGAGCGGGCAAAGGCAGGCAGATCTCTGAATTCAAGGCCAGCCTGGTCTACAGAGCAAATTACAGAACAGTCAGGGCTACATAGAGAAAATCTGTCTCAGAAAAACCAACAAAACAAAACAGAACAAAAAAAAAAAAAAAAAAAAAAAGAAACCCTCCTGTTGACACTTTAATTCACAGGTTTTATTTTCTTGTTTTGTCTTTTTAAATGTTGACATTGTCATTCACAGAGTGGCTATTTTCTAATTATACTGAAAACACACAACATGTGAACTTGTATGGGGATAAGGGTCACCATATTTAGGAACTGTGGCCATGCATGATTGTACAGCACTGTCTATACCTTCACAAAGCTATGTTAATGTATTTTTATGTCACTGACATCCAGAGACAGATACACGGTAAGTTCATGCTCTATGTATCATATTACAATAAAAGGTCAGCAAATACATTTCTTTCTGAGATCAGACTGTATCGTGTCGTTCAGGCTGGCTTTGACCTTGAGAGCCTTCCCAGGTACATGGGTGCGTCAGTCCCTGCTAACAACGCATTCTCACTTACTGGACTTACACTTTCCATGTTGCTTTATTCATTTGTGTTTCACACAGCTGCTGCAGATACTACGGATACAACTATTAAAGACACAGGGTCTACACCACAGGGCTCAGACTCTAGGAGTAAGCAGGCTTACTAATTACAGAGTGTTATTAGGACACAGTGATGATTCTGAGGAGGGACAGATCAACTTTTGGTAAGAGTCACAGGAAGGTCCTTACAAGGCACAAAATAATAACTCTGGTTTCAGTTTCTCAAGTTCATCAATTCTATTCATTCTTTAGATACTAAGTGAATATCCTCGAAAACATTTTACTGAGTTAAAACAGCTGGGCCAACACACACACACACACACACACACACACATAGAGAGGGGGGGGGGAAGGGAGGAGGAAAGGAGGGAGGAAAGGAAGGAGGGAGAAAGGGAGGGAAGGAAAAAGGGAAGGAAAGAAGAAAGGAGGGAGGGAGAGACATTCCTATATCCCTGTGTCTTCAGGGTCTTTATTGTAGTTATACTCAAAAAATGCAAGTAAGATATAATGAAATGGAAATGCCGTTTTCCTACACTCTGTGTGTGTGTGTGTGTGTGTGT